TAAGATCATCCCTGGTTGTTCCCAGGTTGATTCCCAAGGTCCTTGCTAAATAGAACTATTTATTCCTTCTCTGTTTAGGCCTTTCCAAAAGTTTCAAGTTATAACGATCTTGACTAAGCTTTTGAACCCACTTTGGAGAAGTGTGGTGGGAGGGGAGGGAAAACATGCTGCCCCAATGGTGGAGATCTTGCGTGCAAAATTACCAGATATAGTGCAGCTTGCCTTACATTGCATTTAGATGGTTGGGGTTGCTAGGTTTAGAGCGAACCAAAAACGGTTCGCCTCAAACATGGAACCCGCTGGATAGATATAGACATGAGCAAAAATCCCAACTCCTTTTCGGTTCGACTCGAAAGTGTTCGACTGTTTTTTTGGCCCAAAATTGTTCGTGACGAACACCTTGGTGTTCGTCACGAACATGTTCGACTGTTCGAGTGTTCGTGTGCAGAAAAATGCACGAACACCTAGGTATTCGCGAACACAATGTGTTCGTCGCGAACACCTAGGTGTTCGAGGGGAAATTCAGCGCGTCAAAGTTTGACGCCCTGGTTGGATCTAAAAGGGGAGGGCGACGATTGAACTCAAGAATGAGCTCAATCGTCTATATAGCCTAAGGATGACACTCCGCCCCCTACCCACTTAAACAACCACATTCCCACGGTTAAATTTCCACATTGTCGCTGGAAGCGTTAAGTATAAGGTTGGAGTAGGGTAGGAGACGGTTAGAAAAAATGAACTAAGGGCATTTCGGTCTAGGTTGGAGTTTAGCAAGGCGAAGTTGGATACCCACCAGATCTGCGCCCAAGCCTAACTATATCTCTTGTAGGGCTATAGGGAACGTTATATTGCTTCTAGTACACTCGCCCTGCCTGAATGTGACTATACTGAAAGAACCCCCAACGCAAACTGTTCGAGTTCGGGTCAAACACCTTAGTGTTCGGCCTTGCCTCAAAACTGTTCGACCCTATATTCGAACAGGGAACACTAACATTTAAGAAAACTGTTCGAGTCAAACGTGTTCGGTTCGGTTTCGATTGACCAAGTGTTCGCAAACTGTTCGAGACAAACGTGTTCGGTTCGCTCGTTGCTCATATCTAGATAGATATGGGCAAAAAGCGAGGCAAGTTATACTCGCCTCGGCTTTGGCCGACTTGTTCGCGCAACGAGGTGAGGCCAGTATTATCCGGTACGAGTAATTTTTGCCCTCTCTCGACTTGCTACTCGCCGAAAATGACGAGTATCATTTACTCGTTACAAGCAAATAAAATGCTCGTGGAGAGGCGATAATGCTCGCCTTGCCAGGAACACCCCCGAGGACACACAAGTTAGCATAAAAGAATGTTCAACCGTGCCTTCCCTTGTGCAGATTCCCCAAGGACAGTGTTGAATAAATTGGTGTTTTAGCTGGTAAACAGTAGATTTACCAGTGCGATCGCTAGTCAGGAAACATGTCGCAGCAGAATGGGGTGGGTATGGGAGAAATCTCGATTTCTTCCCAAATCATAGGGTGCAGAGATTGTAGAGGTTGGGTTAGGTAGCACCAGTGTGTAGTGCAGTTGGGGAATGCAATTGTTTTAAAAAGGAATTGGTGGTTGTAAAATCTCCTTGTTTAAGTTGGAGACATTTTGTCACACAGAAATACACATTGTAGCAAAGAAACAAAGGTTCGGACCAGCCACTTTCAGATTTGAACCCCTGCTTGCAAGTCACGGGAGGGGAGGTTCATGTTGGGACGAGTAAAACTGTATCTGCGAGTATTTAACTCCTCACGTGTATGATTTTACTCGCTCTTCCAAGCGAGTAAAAAGTCGTACTCATTTACTCGCGAGTTAAGCCCGCCTCAAATTGGGCGATTAGTTTTGGCTGAGGCGAGAGTCGATACTTAGGGATGAGCAAGGGGTGAACACGAACATGTTCGTGTTCGCCACTACACGAACACATCCATTTGCCGAACCGAACACTGTTCGGTTTGGCGAACACTTTTAGCAAAAACAGGTGTTCGCCGTTCGCCTGTGAAGGCATGTTCGGGCGAACCTCGAACACGTTCATGTTCGTCGCGGGGCAAATTGCAGCAGCGGTCCGAACACGAACGTGTTCGGGCGAACCTCGAATACTGTTGGCGAACACTTTAAGAAAAAAAAAAAAAAAAAAAAACATGTTCGGTTCGCCTCGAATAGGCATGAGGAACGGGCGAACACCAAACGTGTTTGCCCGAACGTCCCCGAACATTTTTCTTAACCGAACCGAACATGTTTGGTTCGGCCGAACATTATTTTCAGATTTTCAGTGTTCGGTGTTTGGTTTAGGTGGGCAAACGTCTTTAGGTTTGCCGAACATCTACATGTTCGGTCAATTTCGAACATGTTTGATGTTTGAAAATGTGGACTTGGCACATTCTGACACTAAATAGATTTCACCACTGTTTCTGTGACTTAACAGATTTCATCGCCTCCCCCATCCGCCCTTGCTCCTCCCACCCGATCCTTCACCATGAAGCCTTAAAATCGCACTTCTACGAACGATAGTGTAGGACTTAAACACCCAAAGGTATCTGTTTTTTTAAGGACTGGAGTCGTTAACCGATCATCCTGGACGGTCTTATACATGCAATCTGAAAGTGACTGTAGATATGAATCACACACTTTCTGAAGCTTACACGCCGTCTTCGTTCTTCGCTCTGATTGTTTTTTTTCTCCCAGGCCTTCCTGCTTCTCCCCGAACAGTCTCACGTAATCCAGGTGAGACATCGTCTCCCATGCTTCTGTTGCAACTCTTGCAACCACCTTTGTTAGAAGGACAAAAGAGGCAAGCGGTGTGACTGACTGACTGTTATGATCATTTGTATAATCTGTACAAATGTTTGACCTCATGTGTGCTTATCTTCCCACCTGTATGCTTCACTCTCCCTCTTACCATTTTTTTTTTTAGTTTTTTTTTTTTTTTAGTTTCTTTGTAATAAATACATGCACTCAGCAAGTTAGGTGCAAGAATTAAGAATAACCTAGACAATGTGGCACATGGTGCACATCACAGTGCAAAGTGAACCTAAGCATACTGATCCTTAGAAAACTGATCCCAAACACACTGATCCCAAGCTGATCCCAAGCGAACACAAGCAAACTAAACCCAAACAAACCCATCCCAAGCAAACTAATCCCAAGCAAACTGATCCCGAGAAAACTGATCCCGAGCAAACTAATCTCGAGCAAATTGATCCCGAGCAAACTGATCCCAAGCAAACTAATCCCGAGCAAACTGATCCCGAGCAAACTGATCCCGAGCAAACTGATCTCGAGCAAACTAATCCCGAGCAAACTGATCCCAAAGTGGAAAAGGGAAATGCTGAGCAACTATGATCATGGTGTACCGATCTAGATAAACTATTTTTTTACGAGCGGCCTGTACCGCACATGAGCGAGGTATTTATATAGTTGCTTCAGCACTGAACGGAGTGCTTGTTTGGTGAATGTGCAATACATGTGAAATGGCCCCATGAGGTGCAGATGTGATCAGATATAAGGTGCACCCCAGCAATCTAAGGGCAATGCACTGCGGCCCATTGTACTGATCATCCCCCTTCAAGTTCTCCCTTGTGACAACTTGTCTCTTTCACATCCCATTCGTTTCTCCAAAAATCAACTTCTGAGCACGTCACAGCCTATGGCCTGCAGCTATCAACGAACTCATACATGCCAGCATGGGCCAGCCCCTTCCCGCGCTACGTGAGTGCGGACTACCAAGTGGCGCCCAGCAAGCAGGACTCGTGGGTCATCAGCGACTTCCACTCCTGGGACGCCGTGCCCTTCCTTGGCTGGCGTGTAAAGGACCAGAAAGAGTGCAGTGAGTGAAACCACTGGGGAACCTGGAGAGGCATGCTGGAGCCAATCGCTTGGCTGGTGTATCTTGTTTGGCTGCTACAGTCCGCATGTTTTCCGTTGCCGGTCACTTTCATCTTTAATATATCGCACAATACTCGCTCAATATGTGTTTCCATCGTGTTTTCATCATCACATCACCTTTAATTATTCACGAAACTATTTCGTCATACCCAGGTGCTTGTTGGGCTTTTGCGCTGGTGGCGAGCGTGGAAGCGGCATACGGCATTGCATTGAATGCAGAGGCACCACAGCTGTCAGTGGAGTCACTCTTTGCAGCCATGGGGCTCACCTCCGAAGCTGACAAGTGCATCACGGGGGGCTCCCCCACAGAGGCATTTGAAAGGCTTCTCATGCTGCCTCGTGGAGGAGTCACAGAAGTTGGATCGCCTGTGAGTGGTGCAGCTAAATGGAAGGCAAGAAGGGATAGCTGGTGAAATCTGAAAACTCAAAACTTCGTATGGGGGGCTGATATTAAGAGAGTTGCACGTATACTACAACTGGTGATATGAAGTGGAACTCTTTTCTGAGCTCAATAGTCGGTCATTGCAGCCACTGTCAATGGCTGAAATTGCATTTTGAAATACCGATGAACTAGGCCAGTCTCAAATTTTGCATGCAATTTTAGCAGTCAAGCTTAAGTGTTCATCACGGCCTCTTTGTGTCTTATGTCTCTTCTTTACTGAATGTTTGTGAAATTTCCGTTTACCACTCTTCAGAAAAAGGAGTACCCTGTGCACGGCTTTGAGCGCACGCGGTTCAAGGGGTTTGTGGGGCTAATGCTGGCAGTGCAACGACAGCTAGTGGTGGTTCATATCGAGGCTTCTGCTCTAGCGTTTGCACAATATGACGGGGTGGGTGTTGCTTGCATTGATCCTACATGCTGTACATTCGATGTAAGAAGTTGTATTGACGTTTTGCCTGCATTGGCTTCATGCCTATGTCCCTATGTCTGTTCAGACCTTCAAGTACCAGGATCCTGGATGCTATACCGGCAGACTGAACCATGTTGTACTCGTAGTTGGGTACTTCGTCTTGAGAAATGACGGCAGCCAAAATCGCATTGCGCCTCCATTTTGGATAGTCCGGAACTCGTGGGGAGTGGAGTGGGGTGACCGAGGCCATATGCGCATGGACATCCAGGGAGGGGATGGTGTGTGTGGCATCAACGTGCTGCCTGGCATCTACCCCATTGTGAAGAGTGAGGCAACTTCCTCCATCGTTCTCCACATCTCCATCCCCCCCTTTGAGCACTCACAGAGTCAACTATGTTTGACAGTGAGGCCGGGACAAGCGTCAAGCCAAACTTAATGAGTCCAGAGGATCGCTCCATGTTTGGTTTGTGGAGTAGGGTGGATGGAGTGAAGGGATCGTCAACAGAGAGAAGATAGTGTGAGGCAGTGTTGTCCACGTCTGTAGGTTGGTCAATTACCGACTATTATTGCCTTCCCAGAGTCGTTCTCAGCGTAAATTCTAGTGCACATGTTTCTACTCGTCCTGTTCTCGCATGTAACACCCTCCAGTCCCCAAGGACCCTTGCGGCCAGAGGAGCTTGAAGGGTGATGGCGCACTGCAGCCCAGCATGAACCCGTGTGGGCACTTCTCATGCCGGGCTAACCTGCGCAGCAACAGCAACTCGTGCAACTGCACCATTCCGAATGAAGCCAGTCAGCCATTTGTTGAAGTTGCAAACGGATACGGCTACCAAACATGTGCTTACTGTAAGTTGTTTGAATGTCGATCCATGGCTGTTGTTAGAAGATTGGCCGTTGTGAAAACAACGGCCATTGTCAGAACAATTGGCGTATTCGCTGTTCTCCCCCTCCCTCCGTCCGCTCTTTCCTAAACCCTAAACGCACGTGTCTCGCTCTGGTTTCACCATTTTTCTTCACGCTTGTGTTGCTTGCCAGTGGACGTGTGTGGGGCTGACTTGAAGAACCCCTGCTACGTGGGCACATGCATCAATGACGGCAAGGGCTCCTACTCCTGCATCTGCCCTACCAACTACGTTGAAAGCACAACCATTGACAACTTCCCCACCTGCGATCCAGGTGTGCTGCCATGGCTTTGGTTACTCTTGTATCATCATTTGGCCTTCCCATGGCCCCTGTGAGCTGCTTCCACTCTCTGCCACTGTGCACAAACAATTAGCAAACTCGCTTTTGTTGAATCCCTTCCATTCCCTTGTTCCACGTTCTCACCTTTCCAGCCAACGTCACAGCCAACACCATGGCAGTGAGTGGGAGCAACTGGTGGTGCTCCGATGTCCTTCCTCTTGTGGGCCTCTCACTTGCCCAATTTGCGCAGCTGAATGCGGTAAGCAGTGGAGAGGGAGAGGCTGGGAGAGATGAGAGGCAGGGCAGAGCATGTGGTAGATCAGAGGAAACATGAATCATCGTTGCAGGGAATATTATTGAACCTTTTGGCTGAATCGAATGGAAATAGTGACTCCGCAGGATCCTAACTTGGCTAGACTTCAAAATATCAAATGCTCAACGCAAATCTGTGTGTGCTCCTCATTGCAGGCCATTGACTGCAGTCATCCTTTGCCTCGTAACCTCGTGCTTCAGCTGGGGAGTTTTCTCCTCGTTCCCTGCACCGCATTCTTCTACACCCTCAGTGTTAATTTTCTTCTTTCTACTGAATCCCATCAAAATATGGCTGTCTTGCCAACCCAGCCTACATCAGCATTGTGCACAGTACAGCAACTCTCAATTCACCTCATCTATTGTAACTTATCTCCTCTTGTTTAACCTCCAACGCTTTCTTCAACACCCTCCTCTTGACCGTTAGCATTGTTGTCCCTTTTTTTTCTAATCCCCTCACTGTTGTTCTGTGTCAGCATGGCAACGCTGTCTTATCAACTCCACCGTGCTTATTGTACTGCCGTGCTCCATTAACCTCAGCCATCTGTGCCTTCTCCCGTGGTTCAACCCTCCAGGGCGACACATGCTGGTCCATCAGCGCCCAGCTGGGCTTCACCAGCAGCAACCTCACGGCTCTCAATCCCGGCCTCGGCTGCTCAGAGCCCATCAAGGCGGGCCGCTCTCTGTGCGTCGAGCGTAATGCCACCTTTGCCTTCACCGTGCCTCGGTGCTTGCAATACGGGGTGCTCACAGCACAGGACACATGTGAGCGCCTGCTGCAGCGGGTGGCGGGGAGTGAGGAAGACCCATCGGGGGCTGTGAAGGTGAATGCCATGCCCTGGGCTGAGCTGTACCGCAACAATCCCGGCCTCATCTGCTCGAGTGTCATCCCAGTCTCCGCCTCTGCTGTTGGCAGCAACAGTGGCGTGCAGGTAAGGGGTGGAGGGGAACTAGGTTGGGGCTGCAAGAGATGGGAAGGAAATGGAGGGAAAATTGGTGGGTGACTCACACCTTTATTAAATGGGTTAGGGGGCAAGGAGTCATTTGTCATATTCCAGAGAGTGTTTATTTCAACTATTTGCCCTTGATTGTCTGTTGAGTGTGTGCCTATCTCTTTCTCTCAATACATGTTCCTTTCCTTTGTTGTGTTTGTAAAACGCCGCCGTTTCAGATTTGCCTAAGAGCAGAGTATTGGCCATTTGTTGTTGGCATATGCAAGAAGGGCAGGCAAAAACCAGTGTCACCGTCATTGACGTGCTCGGGTGCTTACAGCTTCTATGGTGGAGCTGCAAATGGAGCGGTTTCAAAATATTATGTGTACAATGAGAAAACGTGTGTTGGGAGTGTAGGGTACAAGTTCATTTGTGTGCCATGATTAGGTCCTCGAGTGGGTATGGATTTCATTGTTTGTAAGATATAATGCATTTTTGTAAATTTGATACATAAAAGATACGCGTTTGGCTCAGAACCCAATAGTTCTTACAGCAGTTCATCATGATTTGGAAACAATGGGTTGACCAATGCGACTGCAAGCGTCGTTCTCATAACTTCTCCCATTAGAACAAACACTGGTACAACAGAGCCGCTTGTTGTGCGCAATTTTTGTTGAAGTAACCTCATAGTCGATTACCGTGATCTCCCACCTAGAAGACCTGGGGGTCTTCTCCTAAATGTGCTCGAACTGGGTTGTGGGGTTTTATGTAACGACATGAACTGCATAAGACCCCTGGACATCTACTAATTAATAAAAAATGGATTGTGTAGTGCAGTGTTGAAGAAATTCGAAAATTTTCTGTACTGAATTTTGGATTCCTTCACAGCGCGGAAATTCATTCTCAGATTCTCGCACTCGAGTCTCCCTGATTTCCTTTCTGCACGTTCAGAAATGCCTAATAATGACATGCACGTCAGCATTTGTTGCCTGAAGGGCGGCAAAAACGCGTGATTGATGTGGCATCTTGACTCCCTTGACCACAAATTGGCCGGACAAAGTGAATTTGGTGGTTTATTGTGTGACTCGCTAACCAGCTCATGAACAACACCACTCATTATAGCCTGAGGGGGGGTCTTTGTCAAACATTATACTTGTTATATTTGTGTAGGCTATAGTGGGTTAGCCTTCTAGGGGGTACACTACTCTAGGTTTGTGGTACTTGTACTCCATTCTCTTCCTATTTCATCATTTTTTTTCTTGTTCTCTCTAAGATTCTAACATGGTATCACGAGCCTAGGTCGTAACTGAGAAAAGGAGAAAGCGAATGGATGAACTATGAATGAAGTGAGTACATATAGGAAACCATAATTGGGTTGTACCCCCTATGGGATACCCCACTATAGCCTACACAACTGCATAAGCTATATATATGTTCTGACACACCCCCATAGGCAAAGTGGGGGAGAACAAGGGGTCACAAGACCAGTCACGCAAAGCACAGCAAGCTCAGGGTGGATCACAAAGTCACCACACAGTCCGAGCACAACGACAAGGCCACAAGGCCAGTTCACATGCAGGAGTGCACACATATATATATAGAGCTAGACAAGCAAGAGCAGGTATATATATGTGACAGTACAAGCAAGGTCAAGAGGAGAGCAAGTGAGGCAAGACAGGTACAAGACCCAGCTGAGTGCAGAAGCGCTGATGGTCACAAGGCGCAAGTGCCTTGGTGAACACATCAGCAGTGTTGGCCTCAGAGGCCACGTACGCAAGTCGCAACTGACCACGCTGCTGCAGCTCACGAGCAAGAAAGTAACGGAGAGCAATGTGCTTCGTTCTGTGCTCCAAGCGCTGCTCTCGACACAAGGCCAGCATGGCCTTGTTGTCTACGTACAGCACTGGAGGAGAACGAGGCGGCTCTCCAAGGTCAGTCAGCAGGTAGGTGAGCCAGCGAAGCTCCTGTGCAGCCATGGCCCCGGCGTAGATCTCAGCCTCACAACTGGAGCCGAGAACAGAGGACGAGCGTGTAGCCCGCCACGAGACAGAGCCGGAACCAAGACTGAAGGTGTAACCCTGCGACGACCGCTGCGTAGCCTGGTTGTCAGCCCAAGAAGCGTCCGCGTGCCCAGTGAGGACCACTGGACTCCGCCCTCCAAGCACTAGCCCCATGCCCGACGTACTGCACAAGTAGCGCAACACCCTCTTCGCTGCAGCCATGTGCTCTGGTCGGTGTCTCCCAGGAGCAACATAGCGTGCAAGAATGCTAAGAGGGTATGCAAGGTCAGGTCGTGTGCAGGTTATCAGGTACATGAGGCAACCAACAAGCTCTGGGTACGGGCCACTCGACTCTACGGACTCATCCGAAGGCAGAGCTGAGAGCGAGTGGCGAGTAGACAGAGGAGTGGCCTGAGGCGAGGAGTACGTGAAGCCGAAGCGCTGAAGGACCTGCTGCACCATGTGTGACTGAGTCAAGGTAATGGTGCGGCGTGCTCTGTCCCGAGTGATCTGCAAGCCAAGGTAGCTGCGCAGTTCACCCAGGTCTGTGCACGTGTGTCTCTTCTGCAGCTCGAACTTCACGTAGGCTAGTCCAGCAGTGTCAGCTGTGGCAAAGACCAAGTCGTCGACGTACACGAGGATGTAGAACGGCGGCAAAGATGTGTCGGTGCGCAGAAACAACGACGGGTCAGCAGTAGAGGGAGCAAACCCAAGAGCCGCAAGCGTAGTCCTCAGTGTGTCGTGCCACTCACGCGGTGCCTGGCGGAGACCGTAGACTGGCCGTCGGAGGCTCCACTGGGTGCCAGGAGGGAAAGTCCCAGTGAAGCCAGGTGGACGGTGCAGCCAGATCTCCTCGTGCAGGCTACCCTGCAAGAAAGCAGTGCTGAAGTCAAGAGAGTGGAGCTCGTAGTCGCGCTGAGCGGCTATGTGCAGTAGCACCCGAAGAGTGGTCATCTTCGGGGTGGGAGAGAAGGTCTGAAAGTAGTCAACTCCCTGCCGCTGACTGAAGCCACGAGCGACGTACCGCGCCTTGAAGACAGGTGGAGAGCCCGGCGGCCGCTTCACCCTGAAGATCCACATGCCACTGACGATGTTCGCCCCAGGAGGGGGAACCGCGTCAACGTAGGTGCCTGTGGACTTCCAGGACGCCATCTCTGCATCCATAGCTGCCTGCCACTGAGAGGAGTAGGGACCCTCTACGGCCTCCGCGTAAGAGCGCGGAGTCGGGATGTCTAGTGCATCCGGGTCTCCCTCAGGGGCAAGTAGTACGGACGCGAGATGAGGTGAAGCAGCAGCCAGACACTGGAACTCCTCCTGCCTGTCCTCAAGGACGTCCGTGCCAAGAGCACACTCACCCCCGACGGACGGAGGACAGACAGACGCAGACTCAGCAACAAGACCGGCAGCGTAGTCTAGACGACAGCGAGCAGCAAAGTCGACGAGCTCAGCAACAAGCGCAGACGCAGCAGTGGACTCAAAAGAGGGGTCAGTGACGACAGTAGCAAGGAGACGTGTGACAGTAGGACTAGCAGCACGAAGAGAGTCGGACTCTGGGTCGGTAAGTGCAGGAAGGGAGGACTCAGGAGGAGAAGGCAAAGGGGCACGCAGAGGAGCAGTGGACGGACGCAAAGACATCCGGTGCGTGCCAGGGACAGGAGGAGGACGCTGACGCGAACCGCGACCACTAGCGCGAGCAGCACGAACAGGCGACGCAGGACGAGACGCAGGCTCACGACGCTCAGCAAGACCTCCAGTGGGACCAGTGTAAGGAGAGGGAGCAGGAAGTGGGGAGGCGGGCTCTAACTGGGACTGTGACTGAACAGGCGGTGGACACGCTGCAGGAGGAGAAAGACCAAGAACCTGCTGTAGGAGGGGAACGAAGTACGGCCGAGGCCGCGCGGCGACTCCAGACACAGCAGGGACAGCACCCTCAGCAGCAGCACCAGCGCCAACCGCACCTCCAGCGGGAGGACCTCCAGCAGCACCAGCAGCACCCGCAGCAGGGCCACCGCCAGGAAGGACAGCAGCAGTCTCAGCACCAACACCCGCAGCAGCTCCAGCTCCAGGCGGACCCGAGGGCCCAGCAGCTCCGGGACCAGCGGCACAAGTACCCTCAGCAGCCGAAGGAGCTCCAGCTCCAGCAGTACGTCTCCAGCGGCGAGCAAACCACTCGCGCAGCTCCTGTGGAGAGAGGGGCTCCCGCCGAGGCGAAGCACCCGGAGAACCGCCAGGTCCCGCACCGCCAGACGCCACAAGGGGAGGTCCAGTGGCCGCAGGCTCCGCAGCTCCAGGCTCAGCAGCTCCAGACGCAGCACCCCCTGGCTCAGCACCCCCAGTCGCAGCACCCCCAGGCTCAGCACCCCCAGACTCCGCACCCCCAGGCGCAGCACCCCCAGTCGCAGTACCCCCAGGCTCAGCACCCCCAGACTCAGCACCCCCAGGCTCAGCACCCCCAGGCTCAGCACCCACGCGCGTAGCACCCCCAGAGTCAGCACCCCCAGGCTCAGCACCCGCAGCAGGACCAGAGTCACCAGCAACCTCGACCGGCTCGACCGCGTCTACCTGGGACACACCTGAAGGGGCAGGACCCTGAGGGGGAAGGGGGTCTACCGGGGGGGGACCTGGCACAAGGAAGTGCGGTGGCGGGGGGAGGGAAGGAGTGCGGTAGGGGAAGAGGCGGTAGAAGGGGACTGACTCGTCGAACGTGACGTCCTGGGAGGACAGAACACGACGAGAGGAGGGGTGGTAGAACTGCCACCCTGGGGCGTCAGGGGGGAAGCCGAGGAAGACACAGGGAGCAGCACGAGGGTACAGCTTGTCCGCAGACAAGTCGCGGACAAACGCCCGAGATCCCCAGACACGGAACGCAGACGCATCGCCGACCTTCCCCGTCCACAGCAGAGCTGGGGAGGTCTCCGGCCGGGAGACCCTGGGGTGAAGGTTGATCTGATGCGCCGCGTACCGAACCGCAAACGGCCACAGAAAATGGGGGGCAGCCGCATGCATCATGGACGTACGAGCGACGTCCATGACCATGCCAATGCGGCGCTCAGCAATCCCATTTTGCTGTGG